TACGGCCCTATGGCGTTCATCAGCGGATACAGCAAGTTGGACGTCCAGCCGTCGAGGGTCAGCATCTGGAAGATGCAAAAGGCTGCTGCGCCGAAGTTGTCAAAGGAGGTGTAGCCGAAGTTGGGGTTCGTGTTGATGTCGATGCAGGAGGAACCTTCCATCGTTTGATTCCAAAGGAGGCGGCATGTGTGTGTGTGTGGTGGGGGGTTTGGGGAAGGGGGGGGGGGGGAAAGGGGGGGGGGAGGGGGGGGAAGGCGAATGGGAAAGGTTCGGCGGACGAGGTCGGTGGAGTGAAGGGGGAAAGACGAACCACGAACGAACGAAGCTGCTGCCAGGTAGCAGTGGGAGCGGGGACAGACTTAAACAGATTAAATTCACCCGGTGTGCAGTGTGCGGATAAACACACACCACCAAAACACCTCCCTGACCGTTAAAGTAGAGCCACGGCGGTTCTGTGACATCGCCTGGGTGACGGCCGTCATCAAGCTCATACCGTGTGCTATTTATGCGGCGAAAAGCATTTCTACGATTAATAATGTTGTTGTTGTTGTTGTTGTTGTTGTTGTTGTTGTTGTTGTTGTTGTTGTTGTTACAGAGTGGGAGGCTTCTGGGCCGCTTGAACACATTGTCATCTCTACGATTAATAATATGTAAAAGCATTTAACACCCCTCCCCCACAGCAACCGCCATCGTGGGCACTTAATGCCCCGTACAACGTACGTTCGTTCCGTCGTGTTTTGTCATCTGTGCGGTGTTGTTGTGCGGTATAAAATACCCCAAAAGAGGCGGAGGCGGAGGCGGTGGCGGTGGCGGAGGCGGTGGCTGTCGGTATTGATTGCTGGTAGTATCCCCATGTCAGGTCCTAACTCTCAGGTCATAGCTCCCACAGATTCAGCTTGGAGTCTAGGAAGGGCGCTATGGAGTGGTAAGGATGCTGGGACGCCTGGGGACGATGTTGGAACGTATGTGGTCCCACCGCAGCTCTATCGTTACCTTTGGTCGTTAGTCGTCTTTACCATTTGCTTTGCCTGAAGTGTGTGCCATGTAGGACGGTGCTTCTAGGCAATCTGGCAGCCCTTGAGCCCTCGGCCCGTATTGGGGGGTTTGCAGGCACGGCTCCCTACCATCCTCCCCACCGCCACCACCACAAACGCGCCCTCACGTCCTCCTGATCGCTCCAACCAACCAACTAAACTAGCTTAACTCATCCCACCCAACGAAAACGCACAACTAACTAACACGACTAACTAACTCACCGTCTGGGCATTTGAACAGCCCCGCACCGCCCACTGCACAAGGCGTGTTCTCCAAACCGGGCACCAGCTGGGGCTGCTGCTGCTGCGGCGGCGGCGGCAAGGATGGCGATGAGGGCGGCAGTAGCGGTGGCACCGGCGGCGACGCTGCCCCCGGGCCGTACGGCGGGTCCGCCGGGGCCCCTGTCGCTCCCGGCGGTGGCTCCGCGGGTGTCAACGCGGGCCATACACACCTGCTGTGCAGCTTGCCCATGAACAGGTTCAGCGCCACAATCCCGAACACGAAGAACACCCAGGCTAGCAGGAAGATGACGTCCAGCAGCAGGGGCAGCGCCTCGAGCAGCGTCTCCACCAGCAGCCGGAGACCTGAAGATGTGTGTGTGTATGTGTGTGTATGTGTGTGTGTGTATGTGTGTGTATATGTGTATGTATGTGTGCGTACAGGGGAGAACGAGGGAGACAGGAGGAGAGAAGTTCGGGACCGAGTCGCAGTAGTCGGAGTATACAGCCCCAAAAACCCCTAACCGAAACCCCCCTAAAACCCCGACCAGCAATAAAACGCTGGAGCCCTGAGAAAAACAAATGAAAAACATTTTTAAAATGCCAACCAACACGCCCTGACTGAGAAACGCCCCGCTGGTAAACAGCCCCGCCCCCCCTTCCCTGGGCACCTGGTATTGCGCTGAGTGCCCTCAGCGGCCGAAGCGCCCGCATGGCCCGCACCCCGGACAGCCCGGCTCCGCTGTCGTCCGGCAGAGGCAGGTAGCGCACGTAGCCGCTGGCAGTGGCGAGCAGGTCGATCCAGTTCCAACCGTTCTTGAGGTATGCCCCCGGCCCCAGTGCGAAGTTGTGGGCCAGGGACTTCATGGTAATCTCCAGGGAGAAGGCCGCCAAGAAAAACACATCCAGCACGGTGGAGGCCTGCGGGGATATGGTTGGGTTCGTTGGGTTGGTTGGGTTGGTTGGTGAAGGTTTCGGTTTTGGCTGTGGGAGGGGAGGGAACGGGTAGAAGTGGGGATGGGGGGAAAGGGGTCGAGGGGGGTTGGGGGATTGAGGGAAGGTGGACGTGTATTTCAGACCCCCAGATATTCTTCATCCCCCCGCACTAGAGGTCAGCTAGCCCGGGCCACCTCTCCGACACCGACTCTTCATGCCCACCTCCCAACCTCCACACCCAATGCCAGCCAGTACGCGGTCTGTCACGTCACACCGCCATCGCCCCCTTTCCCTCCCCACAGGGGGGACAGCAGACTTCAGGTGTGTATGTATGTATGTATGTATGTATGTATGTATGTATGTATGTATGTATGTATGTATGTATGTATGTATGTATGTATGTATGTATGTATGTATGTATGTATGTATGTATGTATGTATGTATGTATGTATGTGGGCATGCGAAGCAGATACACACGGATGTACATACATACGGTTGGACAAACGGGCGCATGGACATACATGCGGACGGATGGGACACATGCGGCTTCCCTGTCTCTTATGGAGACATGTATGTCTGTATGTCTCACTGTCGCACTATCTCCCTGTATGTATGTAAGCCTCACTGATCAAGGCTACCTTTCGATACAAGTCGCAGTTCCGACATCGCCTACTGGGCCTACTCACCACCTGGAGAGGGGGTCCCGGGGGAATGGAGGGACGGGGGAGGGGGCGGGGGGCCGGGGGGGCGGGATGGAAGGGAGCAGGGGGCAAGACGAACCACGAACGAGTGAAGCTGCTGCCGGGGGGAAGGGAGGAAAGGGGACTGGCAAGCAGCGCATGTAAGCAGTGGGCAGAGAGGAATGGAGGGGGAGTGGCGAGCGAGATGCAGGTATGATGGTACATGATGCAAAAGCGAAGAGTTCCAAGCGTGTCGCGCGGCGGGGGGCCTAGGGAGGGAGCTAGGGAGGGAGGTGCAGTGGGAGCGGGGCCGGGGGGACGATTTGATCCAGGGAGGGGGCCGACAGGGAGGCAGCCGGGCAGGGGGAAAGGGGTTAGTGAGGGAGAAAGGGGAGGTCCAGGAGGTGGAAGGGGATGAGGGGAAGAGCCATTCCAAGTACCGGGAGTACCGGGAGCTGTTTCGGTCGTTGGTACGGCTGTAGCTGCTTCTGCAGGGGCGGGAGTAGCTGTGAGGTTAGGTGGCGACGATGTACGGCGACCCTCCCAACACAGTCAATCAATCACATGATCCGTCGGGCAGCCACTCACTCAGTCAGTCCGGCAGCCAGGCAATCGCCTCGTTTGTCATTCAGTATGTTTGTCATTCATTCCGTACCGTACATTATTACGCCGTTAGTTATTCTACGTTTGTTTACAATTTCGTTCGCCGGTCCGTTGATGCGGACTTATTACTCAGGCAGGCAGTCAACCTGGTCAAGATAGCCTGTCCGTCTGTCAGCTTGTCAGTCTCGGCTCTGACCTTTTCACTCACCTTATTGAGCACCGCCTTCTGCTTGCATGCATCCGTACAGCCCGGATCATCCATTGCCATGACGAGGCAACTCGCAAGCACCAGCGTCAGAACCAGCCGCCCAAACCAGCGGTTGCCGGTCACCCGCAGGCACACCACGCGCACAACGTGCTGTTGGGAAAAAAGCCACCAGCTCCTGTCGTTTGCATCCAGCCGAGTTGTATAGAACGCAGCGGCCTACAAATGGGTCGACGACGGCAATGGTGCGGATGTTCGTAACTGAATCGTCGGCAGCAGCAATTCGCCGGACCGACCTTGCGCCAAGCTGATGATGGTGCCTGTCGGATGGAAGTAAACACCGCAGCGCAGCCAGTCTGCGCGGTGCTGATAGCGGGTGCGTCGTCATTCCTCCGCTTTTCTTGGAGGTGCAGCCGCCAAGCGTGCAGCTGTTCCCGACCATCAGTCTGCGTCATCAGCTCCTTGCTCGTGGCAACGTCTGATGCTGCAAACCATTCGGTTCACGTTGAATTCCCAGACATGACAGTGTTTGTCTCATCCAAGCAAGGCAAAAGGAAAGTAAATACTCAAATGTTTTCACACTTGTAATCATCGGCGTTTATTGCAAGTTACATCAGTGAAGTAAGGGTTGCTTTGCCCTAAAGACGTTTCTTCACACATAGAGCACCATTCCCTGCTTAAAAAATTCAAATTCATTATGTAAGCAAGCGTACAAATGTTTGACAGAAACTAAGACAACTGCTGCAATAGCAGGCATGATGCCCCGGTCCCGCAGGTCCCTGTCAGAAATTACGCATTGCAGTTAGGAACTTCCAGACACATGCTGAGAAAAAATGGCACTATTATCCGGATTGGGCATCGAATCAACCCTGACTGAATGGAGGTAGGGTACCATTTTAACCACCCGCCGGCACCGACCGGCTCACACGCAAGTTACAAATCCGAAAGGGCCAAGACCAAAAAGACATTTGCCCTGCTGCAATAGCACACCGATTTCTATAATCGTTTCCGTTTTATTAGTTCACGGCCAAATCTAGCTAAATCCTTTTATGGACGTAGTTGCAGGTCCTATCGCTTCTCTCACAGCTGCGTCGTTCCAAGATTTGCATACCTGCAGACATAGCAATTAACATGATGACATAGCCCTGACTTTTAACCCAAGCGGCTGCAGCGCTCGTCCTGCACCTTCCTACAGCCGTACTACGTCATCAGTTTTTGCTCCAAGGGAGATTGCTATTGCCAATTCTGTTACAGGAATGCTGTGTTAAGGAGGCCTAAGCTGAATCGAATGGCCTAAGCTGGAGCGAATGGCCTAAGCTGAAGCGAAAGGCCTCACGAACCAAAGGAAAAGCCCATGAGCAACGCCGCGGGCGCCGCAAACAGGGGCGGGCGGGCGGGCACGCGCTGAACAACAAAATCAAGATAAAGAACTGAACCCAAGCGCGCTATTCATACGGCCCTGAGTACACGGGCCGTGGCGAGCAACCGAAAAGCTTGCATCGCCCAAGGGCCTTACGCCAACTAATCCGGCTTCCGCAAAGCAAGCCCGCATTAGTCCTGCGAACCCGAGCGTGCCACGACGGCAGGGACGCCGGCGGGTCTGGTAGGTGGCCATTTGATGGCTCTGGCAAGCGGTGGTGGCGCATATGGCATGCCGCCAACGAGCACATACGGTATATGCCATCAAAAAACATGGGGCTGGGCACCGCAATTGGCGCATTCAAGCTGAGGTACCACTGCATCACCATTTGGTGAACGCGGTGTTTCAGAACGGGCAGACAATTCCGCAACAGAGCCAGTCGGATGCCTGGCTTCGTCAAGCGAGCTTGCAAGGTTGGCTTCAAAACCAGCTCCAAGCGATTCAGGGTGCGGGACTTCACTCCCAAACCCAGGCGTACATGCTGGTGGGCACCCTGTTATCCGCGGAACTCCCGCACCTTATCCTTCCATCGTCACAGTGGATGGATGAGCATCTGGTATAGTTGAGCGAGCACGCTGATACATGGTATGTGTGTGCACATACATTGTAAGAGCCGGCAGTCACCCATGAAGTTGTCGCCACGCCTTTACAAAACCCTAAATCAATAGACTAATGTACCATCAGGACTAAACAGCCCTGGAAAACCCTATGCGAAAAAGCGCAGACGCGCCCACCCTCTTAGTCCTTGTGGCAGTCAACCTTCGTTCTCGCCGGCATTTCCAATCCCCTTAACCGATCTGGGTTCGCCCATCCATAGTTTAGTTATGTTTTCAACACACGTCCGTAACGCTGCACGAGGAGCTTCTGACAGACATGTAGTCCATGATGTGCGTACATGAGATATGCACTAATGAAAGGAAGCACTTGAAGCGGAGGGCATCGCAAGGGTTTCCTCTAGACGGTCGACATGCTGCCCTGCATGTTCTGACAGCGGTAACTAACTATTTCATTTTACGCAAGCGCCACAAAGGGCCCGCTGTATTCTTTCACACGACTCTGATTGACAAATGCCATATATACAGCGGCTACCAAACAGGGCCCTAGAACAGCCGAGCGCCCTCCCCCAATACCGTTAAAATTACCAAAACGCAAACACAGGCACGCCATGCGTCCCAACCCTTCCAATTTCCACCCTACCCAATCCATTCCATCCAATAACAAGCTGGCTTGGTGGCCCGAAATCACACATGGCCATCACCACGGCCATCGCCATATATGAAAACATCTACTATTCCACTATCAAACGTCAGCTGCTATCCGTTTACTCATAATTACTTGCGACGCGTTTCGATGTAATAAAAATACTTCTCCTTTTTGAGTACTATCACTTTTCGGATTCCCGCGAGCAAAAGTGAAGCCATCAGATGAGAAAGCGCGCCGCAGCCATTACTGCCACAAAGCCGCCCCTGGATGACCCATACCTGTGCCCCCCTTTTGGCTCATTTCTTTTACGTTTGTTGAACATAGGCCACCATCAGGCACGAGCAGCGCTGGGTTGGCGGATGGCAGCAGGAGGGGGCCAGCGCCGGCACTTACAAGGGGCACTCCAGCACTCATGGGCGCTTATCATCACCACCATAGATGGCGGCTCGCACGGGCTGGCCATTAGGACTGCCGCCAGAAGGCACTGGACAACCGAACTCCTGCGCCACAAGGGAGCAGAAGGCGAACCTCCATTTCATTCCCTCGAGTCGTGCAGCCAGCAGTAGCGAGATTCCCCTCAGCTGCACCGCTACAGCAATGGATGGACACACGTAACAGCAATCCAGTAATCCACAAACCCTAATCCACCAAAGCCAGAAGCCAGCAGGTGAAGCACCACAGGACGTCACCGCAACGAAACCACCACCACTGGACACTCCTGACGCCAAAACCGCATACACGAACCATACATGACAGGAGCCCGACCCCATCGGCCATCCAGCAGCTTGACGCAAACCCAAGGGGGTCGCATGCCACAGCCGCACCATAGCTTGGTAGAGGAGATCACAGAGGCGGCAAGGAATAAGGCCAGGCAGGAGTAAGGACTGCGGGGCCCAACCATAATCAGCTGCGTTTGTGCAACAAAGTTCACAGGCCATGTAGACGTATACAGGCACATGAAACCGCCGAACATACATATGTCACATACATACATACATCACAGGGCCACCCAATGCGGGCTGACCAGCTCTGCTCAAAGTTCCTTTCGCGCGCCCTGAGTATGGGGCCGTTAAGATACAAGTGGTATTTCAACCCAGATGCTCAAAGCAAGTACGACGACTAACAAATAGTAACGGCGCTCTATTCCGGACAAAGCTACCCGCTGCGTATAAAGTTTCAGTAGTACTACTACCCCGAGCTCTAAAACTGCTATGGCCTGTGTCCTCGCGGATCGCTTAGGTCAAACCATCTGCACAGACACACAGCAATTTTGCCACCATCTTAAAAATCTATCCATGATATCTGGTCCTGCGGTAATGGCATAGGCATGCATGCTATTGCGCGCGGCCGTATGGACGTCCTTCGCAGGGCAGCAACCACGGACAGACGGACAGCCCCCTTTTCCTTCCCTGGGAGGTGTTCTTTCCCCCTGTGGCAGAGGTCTACACAGATATCCTTGCTAATGCTGAGTAAATGTCACTTGCTAGGAAAAGCGAACAGCAGAAACCCAGATGAAAACACTTGCAACAGACACCACCCAAATGTTAATAATACAATTGCAAGAAATGGTTCGGGAATTCACATCGCGGTCGCGCCATCAGATAGGACATGCCCGGGAACCCTGGAGGGGGTTTCATCTATTATATAAGGTGCACCGGAGGCAAACAGGGCATTGGTTACCAACGCGAGCACAATAACCCGCCGGCGAGCTCGAGCGTGATAGAGCTCAAGCCTTCGGCTTAAAAACCGCGTCCTGCAGGTCACGCATCCACTTCGTCATAGAGTCCAGATTCTTGTAGGCCTGTGCCTCGAACTTATCCGCGTACTGATGCGGGTCAAAGTTTACGATGCTCGACCAGGTTTTGCTGAGGCGGGCATTGGTGTCGGCGCTGGAAGTGAGAATACGGAAGCTGCCGGCAAAGCCCCTGAGTGAATCAGTGATGGCCTTGATGGCGGATGATACCATCGTGTCAGATGTCGCCGAACCAAGACCATGTACGCCTCCGGGAGGCAAGGTGCCTTGCGAAGAGGTCGCGGTTGTCGTCGCACCCATGTCCATGGGCATCTTGTAAAACCGCAAAAATTCCAGGCCGGTCATGCAGCCAGGCGGGAGCACCTTCACAGGTACAAGGGCTCCATTATCAAAAGGAGCAGTGCGCAACGTGAATTACCTTGCCTAGTTCCCACCTTCGTATCGCTATTCGTTTGGTATACAGCGTGACCGATAACTACGGAGAAATCCACGCGTTGGCCAGCAGGTATCTCGCGAGCCTCATGCAACTTTTGTAGGTCCAAGTTCGGCCCATTCCGTGCTGCTGAGAGGCCCAAACAAACCGGCTCACTGCTTCGCCAAGAAGTACTTTGATTTACCTTCGCCGCGGTCGCGTCTTGCTGTGACGAAGGAGGGAAATATAGCATCAAGCCTCTGCAGCTTCGCTGGCAGGGTTTTAAGCCTGGCTGTGCAGCAGGTATGTGCGTGGGAGGTGAAGTTATCGCGGTGCTCATATTCGCTCACTTCCGACAGTTCTCGCGAGAATAGAATGCGACGCCACACACGTTCTACGGCTACAGGATAGGTCCACGTAGTCCAAGCGGCTTTGTCTCGTGAGCAAGAGTAGAGCTGTTTATTCAACCATAATCGTTGAGTTTGTACGGCAAACCAGCATGGCTTTCGAATGTTTACATCTGCATGAGCACATCCTCGAAACATATACATGTGTTGTCATGAAATTACAACGTTCGTGAACTCCTTGCAAATCCTCAAAAATCCACAAAAGATAGACATTGCCTTTGACGACAGCATCCCACGATTATGCTCCGGTCTAAGCAAACAAAGACCAAAGGTTCATATTTTACCACACGTTTGCATGGAGACCCCGATATACGTGCTGGACGGCCATGCCCGCTCCATCCAGCTCACATAAGCGGCTGCCCACTCTCTTCGCCGCGGCGCGCACATTCTCCGACATCAGGACACGAATTGCACGTTCAAGATCACGTGCAGTTAGCTTGTAGATTGGAATCGGCGCAGGTCCAACACCTGCCCATTTAAGAGGGAACGGAACCGTGAGGCGAGCGATAATGGGCGTGCAGGATGACGGTCGACCAAGAACTTAGATTTGGAATTTCCTTGCTCCACCATATGAAGCAACCAATTCTAATCTAAGTTGCTATTTCAGCCGCTGCTACATATATGCAAATATACAATTTGTAAATATGTGTATAAACAGGTAATACATGCACAAAATATGTACTGAAATATACATTTTGTAATATCACTCATCGCACATATAATAAATATATCTTGTATCACTTCACCCGATTTCCCCCCAACCCAACAGCAGCAATAATAATCCGTTACACTTCACCCCATCCCTCCCTGTCGCACATAGCGCCTTTGCACGTCACCCTTCTTGAGACATACAAAGCTACACACAAAATAAAACAGACAATCTATTGCTCACCCAACTCCTCCGCCCCACCTGCCCTGCCACATAGCTCCCCCCAGAAGAACAGGTCTCCGAAGCTGGGTGCTATGAAGGTGGGACACCCCGCCATCAGACCGGCCGCGGTGGTGCCCACACCGCCATGGTGGATGACGGCGCTGCACCTGAGGGGAGAAAAGAAGGAAATTTACGTGATGTGTACATAATTGTGTATGTATGCGCTTTCCCTACTTCCCCAGCAACCCCCTCCTACACAACGCTGGACATCAACGCGCTGAGGACGATTACTGGCACGCAAGATGTCAGTATATTTTACGCAGTTGCTTCATTGCTTTGAACTCCTACAGCAGTTTGCGGCTTCGGACTTCAGAATTCGACTAAACAAGTGACGTCCCCCTTCAGTATACTTCCCTTCACTCCCCCGCCGGAATCCGGCCCCCTCCACTCGCCAGTGGGTCCCGATATCTCAACCAACACAGCCCCCCCTGCGGTAGTCTCCTCCTCGGCCCCGGACACCATCTCAGCAGCGATACACCCATCTCCCCGCAACCCAACCATAACCATCCGGTCATAACCATGTTGCACGGCAACCCAGTGCCGTACAGCAACCACACACGCACCTACCTACCGGGGGAACAACCATGTATGGGGAACATCCTCGTGTACGAACAAAATATCGTCGTCGCCGCCGCCGCCGGTGGGTGATGCCGCCGCTCCCGCTGTTGAGTCCAAGGCACCCTCGCTGCCGCCGCCGCGGCTGACTGCACAGCCGTTCTCCTCTTCTTTTCCCTCCCCCCTCCCCCCGTCCGTGCCGTCCTGGGTCAGACAGCCCCAGTTCCCCGCGGACATCACGGCCCGTACTCCCGTAGCCGCCACCGCCTCCCGAATCGCCGCCGCCACCGCACGGCCCTCCGAAACCGTCATGCTTCCAAAGCCAATGTAAATGGGCTTACGATCTGCATGGTGGACGTGGCCGGGGGCCGGAAGCGCCGGGTGGGCAGACGGGGGATCTCGGGGTGTTGGGGAAAGAGGGGATTGGGGAACATGTTAAGACCATATCCAAACCCAAATCGAAATCCATATCCAAATCCAATTTAAAAATAAAAAAATATATCCAAATCCAAATCCAGGCAACACATACCAATAGGCAACTCAGGGGCGAACGGTAGCGAGGGCGGGAAGGCAACCAACATGGCAGAGCAAAGAGAACCTAAATGGAATCTCAAACAGACAGGCATATGGACAGAACGGACGCACAGACAGATGGACAGCCATCCAATCCATTCAATTCCCCCGCTGGCCCCTCTTCCCAACCCCCGGTGGCGGCTGCCGGTAAGCCCGGCTCAGCCCCAGCCGTCATCCACAATCTGCACACATACACGCACACACACATACACGCACACATACACACATACACACAACCCCCAGCCCACCCGGATATCGCTCCAGGAATTCGCTGAGGGCCCTGGGGGGCTGCCACTGCCACTGCCACTGCCACTGCCCACCTCCCGTGTGAGGTTCCGAGTGGAAGGGGGGTTGGGGAACCCGGGGGGGCCCGCCCTTGCGAGATACATGGCCAGTAGGAGATGGCGAGGAGGAAGCGGTGGTGGAGGAGGAGCGGGCGGAATCCGCCCCTCCCCTTCCCTCCCCCTTCCCGCTCCCCTCGCCCTCCTCTTGCCGCTGTTCCTTGGTGGCGTTAATGGAGGAGGAGGGGGAGGGGGAGGGAGAGGAGGAAGGGGAGGAGGAGGAAGCGGTGGTGGAGGAGGGGTTCCCGTATGCCGGGGGGCAGGCGGGGTTTGGGGGTGTTGGCAGCGTCAAGGGCCCCGACACCTCGATGTGTGGGCCCCAATCTCTGGGAGCCCTGACCAGGGTGGGGCTGAAGGTGAAGGTGGTGGGCAGGCTGGGGGAGCGGGGTGGGGGGGTGGGGGGGGGCAGGAGGGGGGGCCGAAAGGGCTTTAGGGTTTTAGGCTTTAGGCTTTCCATAGAGATACGGCGAGATGAACAAAAAATGTATTCCGTCCACCAGGATTAACAAACATAGCAGTACAAAATGCAGGACGTACGACGGGTTAACAGCCCAACGTACGTGCCACCGACTTGTGCGAGACGTTAAATGGCACAGTGTGCATAGATATAGATGAGACATACAAACCCATAAAGGCGACTGTGTAATTTTTAGGTGGTATTTGTTACGACTCGCTTACTCATAGAGTGCGAACCCCGTGTTCCGGAGAGACACGAGGGGCAGTCCAAGTCGGCTCCGAAACCCGGTTACCAGGTCGGCAATCCCCAGCCAGGCTATGTGATCCA